TATCTCGATATTTCCGTGTTGTAACATATATCTCGATATTTCCGTGTTGTTATATATATCTCGACCACTCCGTGCTGCAACTTTTAGAAAAATAGTACTTTCGGAAAATAATAATATTAGCTTTTGTTATATAACCTGTGAATCTACACAATACATTTAGTGAAGTTGACGCTGCTGAAATTTGAAGGCTGTCTGTATTCCGTTGTGTGCAACCTATGTTGTAAAACCATGATGAGGTTGAATTTCACACAAATCAACTTCCTTTTCTCATAAACGAGTCCAGTTGTATTGATAATTTTATTCAGTAAAATCCCGGATGTTGTTTTGACTGTCATAGGGTTATTGAATCGGATCATTTGTTTTTAATTATGGTATTTAACAAATAATGAAGTATCTTCTCTACTCATTGAGTCTCTTTTCTACTTGACAACAACGATTTTCCAGCAAAACTGTTTCCTATTGTTTGTCCGACCTTGAGAAAAAGATTTTCTGATGAACCCATTATGTATCAAATATAATGGTTGCATGTGGAGTTTCTGCTTCCTCAATTAACTTAGGAGAATGTCGTAATACAAAGAGATAATTGCTGGTGTCCGGGATGAATATTGACTGGAACATTGACTTATTGTCCTATTAGACGATAAACATCACATATACAATATGGGCTATTTTCTCTTTTTCCTTTACATTATAACGCTAACCAACTCCTATTGTGACGTCACGTACGTTACTATAATTTGCGGATACAAAGAGATAATTGCTGGTGTCCGGGATGCATATTGACTGGAACATTGACTTATTGTCCTATTAGACGATAAACATCACATATACAATATGGGCTATTTTCTCTTTTTCCTTTACATTATAACGCTAACCAACTGATATTGTGACGTCACGTGCCTATATTTTGTAACCGACATCCCCATTGTGACATCACGTATCTATAATTTACGACCGACACCCTCTATTTAATATCACGTATTTATTTATTTGTGACCGACAGCATCTCCTATTATAGCTTCACGTAACTATAACTTGCGACCGACATCTCCTTCTGTGACGTCATGTTTCATGGCAATATGGCTTCTCCAATCGGACAAAAGAATTCTGCATTTCCAATCAAAACGTAGTTTTTTGGTAGAAAAGCCTAGATACTCTTAATTGCTTGTTGTTGCGTTTCTCTAACTTTCATCAGTTAGTTTACAATTTGTACTTAGTAAACTCGTGTTTTATGTAGCTTGTAAATCAACTAATTCGAGGTATAGATAGAAACGAGGAGGAACTGCAAATCGTTGAGAAACCGCTGTGGATAAAAATATACAACTTTAATACATTTCTTAATAACTTATGTATATATCGCCCTATCTTATCACACGAAAATTGCACTGAGGAGCTAAACATTTACATGGTTTGTTGTCAGATCAATCCACAATCAGAAAAGTATGAGAGAGGCCTAACTCAGGTGCATCTGTATAGATCTACTTCTTAATCGACACTCCTACACGCAACGGACAGCAACTGGAGCGATCAATTTGCTATCATGAATGTATTTTTTAAATCAAGAAATGACGTGTTTTTATTTCATTATAGGTATTAAGTCGTCAAACGTCGTGCAAGGGATGGAGTCTAATTGGCGCAAAGCTGTAAGCATTATAGCTAACACGCCATTAATTATAGCCGGATGGCGCTATACCATGACATGTGACTCGGTAACTTCACTAATGACTTGGCTTGTTGAAGTAAAACACATGCTTTGACGAGTTCATCTATTG